CAAACTCCGACGCATCGCAACGCGGGGCAACACATGTGTTGATGGAACGTCATCCCGCCAAAAAAATTGAACGCGCCAGTCAGTCACGGCTACCAAATTTCCTGCACCAATGGGGATGATGTGAGCCAGAGAATTCCTAAGCCCGATAGCATCGATATGCGCGCTCATTTTCTATGCTTTTGAGGGTTCACAGCCATTGGCGCATTACACGTGTAGCTCTTACCCCTCATTGAGTCACTCGTTCGAGACGCGCCTCAATCTTGTACACTACAAAACGACACACACATCGCCTGAAGCTTGCTCTTTCCATGGTCCATAGAGATCACGTGCAAGGCTGCCTATTAGATGAGGCCACATCTCGCTAAACTTCGTCTCCAGCCACCTAGCCTCAAACCTATTCTCAAAAAAACTTAATCGCCGGCATCTCACAAACTTCAAACACACTACTACAGCTAAGCCGCCGCCGCTATGCCTCTCTTCCACAGGCTCCTACTCTTCATCGCGAAGATCTTACTTTAAGAAGACTACAGTCTTCACATTATAAGCTTACTTAATACCTTTATTACATAGCTTTTGCTAACAAGATAGGGGGAAATCTGCGCCCTATACCAGAACTACACAAATTCCACTAGCGTCAACAATCTACAGTAGCGTCTCCCAGCCTACGAATTCAAGGGCATGCAGCGTCCTATCATCTGCGCCTATGCCTACAACCAAATCCAGAGGGCTGCTATCTAAGAAGACAACAGGGGTGAAGCAAGGTAGACAAGGATCGCTAGCTTAGACCTAAGAGATCAGCATTGCTTAGTCATAGGCATCTTATTCTGCTAGGTGTCAGTCTAGGCTGTTCGGGTGATAAGCTCTATATTCTAGATATTCCAGAAATTTAAGCTGAAGGCCCTGCAACTCTTTGCCACAAGTCCACCCACTCGAGCCCACATATCTGGTCTGACGCCGCCCGCGCATTTAGCCCTCTCCACGGCACCAAGCCCGCATCCAATTGCAAGTGCCGACGTGGGACTCGTGGCCTAGCCCGTAGCAGAATTCCCCATTCAAGTCTTTGTTAGAGGGTGCACAGCGCGCGTCTGCATACTACAAACCCTAGCAATTGCGTGCTTGATTCATAGCCATGGATCTCGTCAACTCGTATGTTTTGATTGTTTCTTTTCCCCATTCTTTTTCCTTCTTCTGATAAGCTTCTTGTATGACCATGGGGTACACCAACGGAAATGATGGCGCAAGTGAGATCGAGCGCATCGCGCAAAGAGCGCGTCAGGGCAGCAGGAGTCTTCCTTTCATGACTGACCTTTTGGGAAACAGCTTGAACGACCGTCTCCTCTTTGCGGTGCCCAAGAGTACGTCGCTCACATTACTACTGGCTGGACTTATAGGCTAACAACCATCGCAGAGGGCCGCCTCCACCAAGCATGTCTTGATCTCCTCCACGGCTCGGACATTCAGTTCCACCGACACTCCCGTCTCGATATCGCGCTCGTCAAGAACCACCCTCTCGCTCTCGTCTTCCTACCCGCCGCTGATATCCCGACTTTCGTAGGAGAAGGTCGCGTAGACTTGGGCATAACAGGGCGCGATCAAGTCGCAGAACACGAGTGCGTTGCACCACCGACTGCCACCAGCGGCGTGGAGGAGGTTCTCGACCTCGGTTTTGGAAAATGCAGTCTGCAGGTACAAGTCCCCGCGAAGGGCGACCTAGCCAAGCCAGAGGACTTGATCGGCAAGAATGTTGTCACCAGCTTCACCAACCTGGCTGAGCAGTACTTCCGGAAACTTGAGGCCGAGCAAGCTGGAAACACAAACGGCGATGCCAATGGCGATGCGAAACTCAAGACAGTCATCAAGTACGTTGGCGGCAGTGTTGAAGCGGCATGCGCATTGGGTGTGGCGGACGGTATCGTCGATTTGGTGGAGTCAGGAGAGACGATGCGCGCTGCAGGCCTCAAGGCCATCTCCACAGTCGTTGATTCCAGCGCCATTCTCATCAAGTCAAAGCACCCATCAGATCCCAAACTGGTTGAGCTGATCACCGCTCGGATAAAGGGTGTCATCAGTAAGTCGCATCGAATTCCGCGTTCGTTTAGCACAGCTAATCTCTCGCAGCTGCACAAAAGTACGTTCTGTGCACATACAACATCGACCGATCGAAACTCGATATCGCGCGCAAGATCACTCCCGGACGTCGCGCCCCCACCGTCAACGCGTTGGAAGAGGATGGTTGGGTGGCTGTACAGGCTATGGTGCTCAGGAAAGACATCGCTATTGCCATGGACAAACTGACGGAGGTCGGGGCTACCGATCTCATCGTAACAAAGATCGAGAACTCGAGAACGGGTGATTGAGCGACGCATGGCGCATGGGTTATGGAGGCATAAACTGGTCTACATTTTCTGCGCAACATGTGCATGCGATAGATGAGGACCATATAGAAAGCTTTTAGTATACTCGCTGGACGGTCCGCTCTTTGGATTTGTGACCGACTACTATAGAATCAGAAGCTCCCGTGTTTCTCGTGTCCAACAAGCTCTGCATTGCGAAATTTTACCATGAAGTTTGCTATCAAGTCCCGCATGTTTACCGCGCATTTGCGGACCCTGAACCTTTGTTATCAGACTGGGCAAGTTGTGGGTCGCGGTCTAAACGATGTAGTGAGTAGTTCGGCGCTAAGTCTCGCAGGACCTTATCCACAGTCTCGTATCTGTAGCTTTAGACCGTTAGTATCACAAGCACTGCTGAGCAGCTAACTGCTCGACATGCTACGCACCCGAAATATTGCGCAGTATATATTTGCTTACGTTTGCCAAACCTCCATCAAGCATTCTTGGTCCAACGGTAGGATAATTGCCTTCCAAGCAATTGGCCCGGGTTCGAGTACGTTCTATTCCTCTTCCACATCATCCAACATCATTCTAACAGCCTCTCCAGCTCCCGGAGGATGCACAACATCCTTCTCCACAATTGCGAGATGATCATTCTTTTTTTGCTTAGACGTCATCTTGACGCCGTGACGAGCGAGGATGCGAGGCATAGAAATTATTTTTTGCCTGCGCTTAGAGCAGGTATATAATGTTGCGTGTAGTGCAAGCTTTGAAGAAATGCTCTAGGTTTGCCGTGGTCGACTGAGGTAGTAATAGTTGTTGTGTAATTTGATGCCCACGCGTCTCACAATGGCTCCCCTCAGTACACATCAGCGGTATAGTTTTAAGCACATCATGTAGCAACCAAGACAGTAAAGACAGCAAAACAACACGCGCAAGATTTGCCGAGCATGAAATTCAGTTCATCATTTAACACTTCGTACATTAAGAGTATCTCGAAGATCAATGAAACATCACCATCGACATTAGATGGTAAAAAGCGATGAGTTCGATAAACCCCGTGTCAATCCCAGCGACGGTCCGGTCGGTCTAGCACTATCTCAACCCGAGGTGTTGGTCACAACTTGGACATTGGATAGTGGACATTTGATAGTGGGTAGTGAGTTGGTACCGAGGAGACTGTGCCAAAGACCAACCAGACCATCACCAAAACCGGCACGGGGAATAATGTAAACTTGTTACATTGCGATGAGCTACAAACAAACTCCTAATACCACTGTCCGACCAAGAGAGTGAATGCTGCCACCACTACAAGCACAAAACTGAACCAAAACACTACAATAACCCATCGCAAACTCCATTGCTATGCCACGCTCGCTTATTCAATAAAGGAGGGAAGTTGTCGTTCATCATCGTTCATCGTTGTTCGGTTAAGCCGCTTCGATCTACTCAATGCTGATCTTACGGGGCTGAGGAGCCTGGGCCTTGGGAACAAGGATGCTCAAGATACCGTTCTTGAGACTAGCCTTGACGGCTTCCTGGTTGACGCGAGCGGGGAAGGCGAAGGAGCGGTGGAATTCTCCGACTGAGCGCTCGCTGACCCAGTACTTGGCCTTGTTCTCGTCGTGCTTGGAGACGTCCTTGTTCTCGGACTGCTTGGCGACCTTGTTGGATTCGCTGGGGTCGTCCTCCACCTTGGGCTGGAGCTTCTTCTGCTGGGAAGCTTCACCGTTCTCGATGAAGCCCTGAGGGCGTTGACCTTCCTCGCGGACGTGCTCGTGGCGGCCCGAGATGGTCAGCGTGTTGTTGTCGGTCCATTCGATGTTGATGTCCTTTTGCTCGACACCAGGGAGTTCTCCGTGGAGCTCGTATCCCTCCTTGGTTTCCTTCACGTCGAACTTGGGAGTGAAGGACCGGACGTTGGTGAATTCGCGGTCGAGGTTGCGGAAGGCTTGCCTATCGTACTCGTCGAAGAGACGGAAGATAGGAGCGAATTCCTGAGTGAATCGTGGGAAGAGGGACATTGTTGCTGGTGCGTTGGAAAAGCGTCGAGTGGTTGTGATCGTAGGCTTGGTAATGCGGTTGAGTTGTCGAGGAACTCGTTGGATTGTAGAGCGGATTGATTGCATATAAGACTCGTTGTTTGTTGTTCTGATGATGAGCTTTGAGAGACGCCTCGAAGGCTATATATACCCGAGAGATGAGTTTCTGGAATGATCGCACTGCGGAGAGGCATTGGTGTTGCGTCGACGACGATGCTGCGAGAAGCCTCGGAGATGGCTCGGGGAGTTTCTAGAGCTTTCGAACACGACGTTTGTCGTCATGTTGTCGTACGCGATCAGACGAGATTGTGAGATGAGAAGCTTCCAGCTCTTGCCGGGTGAAACTATCAAGGCGATCTCCCGGTCGATCCTGCTTCGGTGAGGGGCGAGTTGGCACTAGAAAGTTCGGGGTGGTGGCTCAGACCATATCACGTGATGTCCGCGCTCGAAGTATCCAACGCCTTGGGAGCGACATGTGAGGCATCTGCTGCACAAGGCTCGTGTACCCCGCAATTCGGTCATGTATTGCGTGATGTTCATCTAACAGGTTGTATCACGGTGACGTTGGGTGCTCGCCCACTGGTGCGCCGCTTCGTTCTTCGTTCCTTGATCCTGTATTCCCCCGCTACCTGTGGATGTCTCGGATACCTGGCTCAGACCATGTCTCCAGCTGATTTCTTCCTCTTCGAAGCAGATATTCGATGGTACCGAAGTCCTTCTTGCCGACATCCCGGTGCTTATGGAACTCGGATCTGGAGCTACTCGTCAGCTGTCGCAGCAGGTCGTTCATTTAACTTGATCGCACCTTGCAAAGTCCCGGAAATGCGACTGCGTTTCCTATGATTGCGTGAGTAGATGTTTGTAATCGTGGTGTTACAATTGACATACTGTTGGTTTCTGCTTCACAGCTCTTAAGCATTGTCGGTAGAGGGACAAGACGTCTTTTTGAAGTCCCGACAATCGTACCATCTCGGCCAGGTGAAGATGTCGTAAGCAACTGAAAAGACACAAGATGTATAGTCACGCACGTTGGCGACGTTGGGATGCAAGAACGAATGGCGGCGAACAAAGCCAGAGCCGAAGGGCCGTGCTTCTAAGACCGAAGAGGTTAGCTTGATTGATGACGATTTCGATGATGTTGGATCGCTTCCGCGCATCGTAGCATGCTCAAATGAGGACGACAATACATTCGAGATGTTTGCATGTCTAACGAAGTTCATGGGGGCACGCAGTATCACTGATCAAAAACTTCCACACGCGAAGATCGCAAATACACCATGAACACATCGCAGATTCCCTTGTTGATGTAGTATTGTAAGATCGAAACTGTGTGTGGGTGTGTCGCATGCTTCATTCACTTTCATCTAGGTGCCGTTCCGTATGGAGATACTCATGGCGCGCTGATGCTTTCAAGTGGACTCAGCTTGACCTTGATGTCATGCGGCCATACGAACCATTGTTTGTGTAGATCCCATTCCTTTTCTGGATCCTCAAGCTCGATCTTTGAGACATTAGCACTCACATCCACACCCAGAAGAAGTCAAAACGTACCTTATACCTTCCAAATACTGTCGCAAGCACCTTGTAGACCTCTACCAGTGCCAAAGGCTTGCCAAGGCAGATCCTGTTGCCTCCTCCGAACGACATGTCTGCGTCTTTCATCTTCTTGATCCTGGCCTCGTACGCGCCGGGTTCTTCGCGCTCACTTTGCAGCCATCGCTCCGGACGGAACTCATGGGGCTTCGCACCAAAAATGCTCTCCTTGTAATGAAGGACCCATGGGTTCACCCCGACAATTGTTCCTGGTGGCAATGTTGTTCCGTTGGACAATGTAAGACCAGTTGCAGGCACAACGCGCTCAAGAATGTGACCTACAACGGGATGCATACGGAGACCTTCTTTGATGCATGCATCTAGGTAAGGTAGCTGTTCGATCGTAGTATAGGACGTAGGGAAGGAGAGACGTGCAGAGAGGAGTTCGTCGACGAGGCGTTCTTTGGATGCTGATGACTTGAGGATGTGATAGAAGATGCCTTTTATCACAATGGCAAGGGTATCGGCACCACCGAGAATCTGCAGGAGCGGTGTTAGTTCTACCCACGCCACAGCGCAGCCACGAAACACTCACATTGATGATCATGTATCCAATAACCTCGTTGTCGGTGACAAGGTCCGGGAATTCCTTCTTTGCTTCGAGAAAGCCATTGAGAAAGTCTTTCTTTCCGTTTCCAAGTTCAGGTTTCTGCATACGCTCCATAAACCGCTCGACGGAGAAGCCGGCAGCAACGGAGAAGTCATCGAACTTATAGAGCGAGCGTGGCCACTTAGGGTTCTTTCCGAGCCATTTGTCGAGGACAGGCATTTGGCCGACCTAGCGAATGTCAGTAAGAAGTTTTGTAATCGAAACAGTTATGAGAGCTTTTGACTCAACGTAGAACATACCACGGAGAAATAGCGCATCACACGTTCAGCGGTTCCAAGCATATCGCCAACATCCGTACCCTGTTCCATGAAGCCAATACGCTTGCTCCAGGTCATATCACCCAAGAAGTCCCATGCGAAGAACGAGATCCAATCAGCAATATCGCATGTCTGGTCCTTGTTGGCGCCTTCCACAAAGCGGGCGTCGAGTTGACTGCAAAGGGTACGAAGGTTGTCGTCCATAATACTCTCGATCTGGAGAGCATTTTGAAGACTGTACAGCTTTTGAACTGGCTTAACATTCTTGGAGTGGAACTCATTGCTGCGCGTACTGAAGATGTTTTGAATGAGATGCCCATCTTGAAGCGCGTCGTTGATAGACCGAGGGAGGGTTAGCATGATCCACTTCTAAGGACGACTGCCTATATCTTACGTAGTAATCGCTCTATTGTAATGTCAGCAGTCGTTTCAATAGCAGTTGTGTTCCATGCGCTGACCTTCAAGTACGTCCCACGAGTGTTGTAAATAGTTTTGATCAGACTGGCATCAGCAACACTAACGGTATTGGGACCGAGACGAACGATATCGCCATGCTGTTCATGAAGTTTCCTCTGGGTCTCGATATGAGTTTGCCCATAGTGATTGAGGAAACGCCAGATATCCGAGAATTTGGCTAGAAAGGGACCGGGAACAGATTTGAGTGGGGATTGCAAGTAAGCCAGAACATATCGAGTGATGAGAAGGACTGCTCCGAGGCCGATTGCCTTCACGAATAACCCTGCCAATGCCATGTTATCACTTAAATCCGCACATACAATATGATTCTAAAAAGGAAAGAAGGACACAACCCCAGGAGTGGGAAGAGGATTGAATATGGTAATGCAGGTGACAAGGCCTTCCCGCTTCAGATTGTTGCGAATCACCTAGTAGCCGCATGTTCAGGTATCGGTCTAGCATATGTACGAAGACGGGGCCAGAATCGAGTCCCCTTCGCTTGGTCGCCCTGGTGTTGGTGAAGCCAAGTCCAACTTGCCCTGAGCGAGGCAAGGCGCCGCTTGCGTACAAGCATGGCGTGTATTGCTTTTTCCCACCACCTTTTTATCGCAATCCTAGGCTAAGCCATTGGTCGTACCAGCCATCGCGAATGTCGGGGAAGCGGTCCCTTGCACTAATGACGGAGTGACAGCGGGAGGTGTGGAGTTTTACGGTTCACGGGTACTAACACAGGCTAATCATGTGGGGACTGACCGGGCCCTGCAGAGCAGGTGTGAGGCAGGTGAGGTTCGCTCCATTTGCAGGTCCAACCGCATCAAGCTCCTATGTTGGATGCGACCTCGGGATGCATCTCTTGACAGTCCCCGGAGAACGGCGCAGATGAACACGCTTATCTGCGTTCCACAGTCCTGGAAAACTGCCTCGTAGGATCTGACTCCTTCGCTCCTTCACTCCTTTCCGCACGCCGCTGCTGGTTAGACCGAGGTTGATCCGTCGGATGTGCGATTGAAACGCCACTAAAGATCGCTTAGCCGAGTCTGGTGTGGCCTACAGCTGACCCTCACGATTAGTAGTGCGGGCAACGGCCCGTCACGGAAAGGCCAAACGTTCCTGTACAACTTCAGATCATCGAATTCTGCATGCAAGAACAAATTTTCGCAATGTCATTTCGAAGCCACTTGCGTAGCATGAACGATCCAAGGTTTCGCGAAGGACATGCCCCAGTTGACTAGTGCACAGCACCGCATTCCAGAGACGGGATGTTACGAGATTCAAACCGGATAGGCATCCACATTCGGGGACAGTGGATAACCGGTAGTCGCATACTCCGAGCTTTGGACACTCATTGGTCCTGATACATTTAGCTTCATCGCTGAACGGTGAAGGAACACCATCCTACTCCACCTGAGCGCTCAACCTGAGCCAATCTTCATCACGCGGACAACTGGCCCTCAGCGAATCAGACGAAGCGGACCCATGAACAACAGGTCCTGTTGGACCGCAGGTTGTGCTGCGTCAACCCGCAAGGAAAAGAAAAAGCATTTCATCTCTTCCTTCGTGCTATGCAAGCTGCAAGATACAAGACAATTTGGCACATGAGGCGCCAACGGGGTATCTTGCTCCGGTAGTTGCGAGAGATTTGTGATCAACACCTCTCCTGGGTATGCAAAATGAATCACTCTGGGAAGAAGTGAAGCAGAAGACGGGAACTAGTTTGGCGGCAAAGTAAAAACAGTCTACCAACGTCAAGCTACACAAGGATTCAACGGAGGACTGCTTTTTTTTCGAGGCCTCGCATGCATGAAACCTCACTCATAGCGCCTCTCTGCAGGGTAACGAGAGCGACAAGAACGGCAACAAAGCTTTGATACTATGCCTTGTTTGATTGCCTATGCAGGTCCCGAGAATTAGCGGGTTGTTTTGGCTTGGAAACCCGGCCCCCCTTCAGTTTCCCATAGCCACAACGGGGTTGCAATGATGCGCTCGGGCCGTGGACGTACATGCAAGTATGTTTGCTCTTCAGCATGGGTGTCTTCGAGGTCACAATTGAGGCTATAGATGCGTCAGTCTAACATTCCTTGCCACCACTCGAGTCGTTGATCTGAACATAAAACCTTTTGCGCAGAGTACAGGGCTGCCTTCACCTCATCCATAATTGTCTCTTCTTTGGACACAAGCCTACACGTTCATCAGCGACACACTGGAATAGCAAACGAAGAGGAGAGAGGTCCCTCCCAGGTTTCCAACCAGAACCAGTTATCAGCAATCAAGATGGGCAAGCCAGCTGATTTTGCGGACATACTCAATGGAGTGATGTGGGCTCAGGTCTTTCTTGGCACTGTGCTTGTCGCATTGCGAATGTACACAAGGCAGTATATTGTGAGAAATATCGGATGGGACGACGTATTGATGTTGGTCAATCTGGTAAGTTTACACCTATTCACAAACTTCAACTTGGTAGTTAGTCAAAGGCTCAATAAACTGACTTTCGAAGGCTACCTTCATCGGTTATGTTGGCTGCGTGTCTGTTGGTATCACCTATGGTGTTGGCAAACAGACGGCCGACATTGTACGACTCGACCTCAACTACTCCAAATCGATCATGTGGGAAGCCATCGGTCAAGGCATCTGCATCATGGGAATAGCTGCCTCCAAGGGTTCAGTAGCACTGTTTCTCCTGCGCATTGTTATTAAGAGATGGCACATTGCTATCCTCTGGTTTTGCATAGCGAGTACGACAGTGCTTTGCATCATCACAACAACGCTTCTGTACACTCAGTGTGTACCATCGGCGTTCTTATGGGATCAAACAATCGAAGGCGGCTATTGCTGGCTGAACTTCACTGAGGTCGGTCTAACGATGGGCGCTTGGTCTGCAGCTATGGACTTCGTTCTCGCTCTCCTTCGTACGTTACCCTGCTGCGTACCACTCCAAAGTAGACACTGACCGTTTCTAGCTTGGCACATTAT